GACCTTGGGCGACGAAGGAGAGGAAGATAATGAGGCAAATGAATTTGCAAGCATTTGAAGCCATTATTTGATCTTTGGACTTTTTATGAAATGATTTAGGAGAAAGTAGTAACTATGAGTCTGTGGTTGCTCAAATATGAGGTTGAAGTATTTATAGGGTAGGGAGATGGTAATTATTATATATATCAGATTTGTTTCCTTTGTTTTGTTATATAGTCAAAGCTAAATCTTTGACCGATAAAGGTTATTAATTTGGACATTATCCAATGATACCCAAAACTATTTTGGTTAGATAAATCATAAAATGAGATCTTGTTGCCTTCATTTCTTAGGTCATGGTACCTTACTTGTAAGGGTTTGATGGTTTTCAGAAACCATCCAACATGAATAAATTATTACAACTTCTTAGAACTGTCCAGCGCTTGAGAGCTTTTTTACAATTCGACGCCTTAGTAAGATAAGACTGGATATCTTTTTGGGAGTTACTCGATCAATATTACTACGTATCTTGTCAATGGAAATGATCTTGTTTAAAGAGTGTTTTGTTTTTCTCTATATTTAGTTTTTGGTTAAAATCGGTTGTATTTCTTCGTTTATTGTTTTTGTCAATTTTGGGTATTTTGATCCCAGTTTTTAAAATTTATTTAACACTAAGAAAATAGTGGAAATGTGTTCAACTTCAAAGCTACATGAGGTAAGAATATTGGAAGCACGTTTCAATAAAACAATAAAAAATCGATATAAAACCCATAATATTTATACTTTATTAATCTCCTGATAATGAAACCGGACAAATAATCATCAGTTTCATGTGGTCAAATCACTAAACCAACATAATCAGAAACACTTGATTTTAGGTATAGAGAATTCAAGAACAAGGTCCGATTTTGGCGGAGAGGATCTTGAAGTTGAAGGGAGAGTACCAGTTGTATTCGAAGAAGAATATTTGGCCGGGAAGGAGAGCATTGCCATTGTAAACGAGACACACCTCGCCGGATTTATTAAGCTTGGAGCTATCAACGGTTGTGGTTGATTGGAAGCCATTACATGATAGTCTTATGTCGCCGACTTTGCATGGACAAGTGTTTGTCACTCTCACTTGCAATCCTGGTACGGTATTAACCGAACCATATGTAATGTATTGAACTATTGTTACATTCTCAACTTTACATTGTCCATATCCTTGAAATTTTGCAGTGCGTTACAAACATTGGATAGATAATCAAAGTTTCAAAAAAAAAAATTTTGGATAGATATAATAAGGTTATCTATTGTTAGTTTTCGAATTATGTACACTTCTTTAACTTTTTATTCGAGAATGATGAATATAGAGAAATTTTGAAAAGTAAAACTATATGATGATAAATGTGTATAATAAAATATACCTTGCGCGACAAAGGCGAAGATGACAAGGAGGCTGAGGTAAATGAGCTTGTAAGCCTTTGTTTCCATTGAATAATGTTTTGAGTTTTATCAGAGAATTTAGGTAATTCAATTCTCAGAATTGTAGCTAAATGTTTTGTTTATGTGATTTTAATTATTTAAAAAGAAAACGTTGTCAGGGACTTGATCCTCGTGATCAAAACCGTGCAACCTTAGCTTATTTGTCTCGTGCAAATGGCTAAGAAACTCTCAGAAAAAAATTGCAAAACTCTTCCTTACATAAAAACGAATTAAGGGACAGAAAATTATTACAACAGAGAGATCTCACCCTTTAATTTATTTTTTTTATCAACACAGAGAGAGATCTCACCCTCTTTATACAACACATCTAAAATAGATGGTGAAGATTAAAACGATCTACCGGTTCAGAACGAAAGTTAAAAGAGAACAATGAAAGTGAGGTAAGTGTGGAGTGATTTTGTATTGAATTGGAGATTATTCTAATGGACTAGAGCAGATTTTTTGGAAAATAATCCTTGGGAAATATCTAGAAATCTTCCATGATCATCCGGAACTTTTTCACAATCTCCACTTAACCAAGCCCACGAAACAAAAAAAAAAAAAGCTGAAGGATAAAAATAAGAAAATAAAGAGAAGAAACCTAATTGGTTATTTATTTTGTTACAAAAAAGAAGTGGATTTAAAGACTCTAAACATAAACAAACGCATGCAAGCGATTAAGCTTAACAAAAATTATGTAATAGAGGGACGAATGATTATGAAATTGGTGGACGAAGGAAAAAGAATACTTCAGTCACAAGTCACAACTATACTAACCATTTCCTTAATTTTCTTACCCCAAAGATCAAAGGGATATGTCCTAATCACAAACTGTTATTTAATGGCCTAACCATACTCTCATTCAAACTGTTATTTACCCCAAATATCTCATTATATGTTGGATATCGAATCCAATAATTTGGCTCAAAGAGTATCAAAGCGCCATGACTGCGATGAGAAACTGCTGTATTTGCTCAGGGACGAGAGAACCAGCATCGCATTTGATCATGCAATGGAACACACTTTTTCTGCGAAATGAACATATTTACACTGAGTTAGGCTTTTGCAGAGACTAAGACAAAAAGATTTGTGTCCTACTATTGTAAAGCCTAAGCATTCTTCAGTTAACCATGAGATCAGTTTTTGTGAGAGAGTAGCATTCAGACCTTGTCTCGTGCTGCTGCAGCAAAGCCGATTGTCGTCTATATATGTTGCCTGGACACCAATCATCCAAGATCCAATGGTGGTATCATCAAATGCATATGTCTTCAACAATCCACTGCATTTTTACATATATACGGGTGAGGAAAATAAGTGATGATTGTGAACTGAGCTTTGTTTGACCTAACCTGTTTATATTGATATACTGAGCCAGATTCTTGGAGAGTATTACAAGCGAACCAGTTGCATGACGGAAGTACCTATATAAAACGAACAAATAAACTGAGTACACACAACATAGGTCACGAGGGCTTCTCTCCCATTTGGCTGTTGAAAATATCAAATAAAACTCATGCCACAGGCTGATCGTCGAGCTTGATACTAAATGAGATTTCAATTTCAGTAGAAACATTAGCTAGAAAACCTCTGAGGTATATGACACTTACGATTTGTCGTCCCCAAATTTCCACCACTCAGGCTCATACCATTGACTTCCCCTGAACACAAAGAAACAAACCATGGAAAATGAAAATGAGAATCTGATTTATGAAACATTTGGGAAATTGTCACAGCTCGTAATGCTCAGAATTGCAAATTGAAGAAAGTTGAGTATATACGAACTGTTCAGTAATCACATCTCCCGACTTCATGCACCCAATGTAAGCACCATCTTGACCACGGCGACTTTCAAGAAGCCCAATCAACGCCTCTATTACATCAAAGATATTTGTCACAAAGACTCTGTTAAAGACTTTGTTGATACTCACCAAACATAGCTTTGCAAAATAAGGACATGAATGAGGAAGTATTACCAAGATCTAGGTCAACGCCGTCATCGACTTTTACATAAAACTCTGCATCCCAATTCTGAACAGCAGCACTGTAGAAGAACTTCACTTTCTTGGGTAACTCTTCTTGGGCTTCCTCATGATTCTCCTAATAATCCATCATATTTAGTGAGTAAAAGTAGACCGGAAGCCACAGCAGTGAGCAAAATTTCAAATTCGCAGGCAACTAAAAGAAGCAAAAGAGTTATTCTTACTTACAAGAATCAAAAAATCTTTAGTTGCACGATTTTCTTCGTCAATTTTCCGATCAAGGCTATCACCTCGGTTAGCACTGGAAATTTATAAAACATTAACATCAGTATCATCGCCCGTATGATGATACAAAGCGTGAAAAACATAAAAAAAAAATCTAAAGAAATGAAGACTAAAGTGAGTAGGAAAACCTCCGACCAATCACAAAGCGTATGACAATTCCTCTTTCCTCAAGTTTTTTCAAAGCATCATCTAAAGAGAAAGAAATTTCATAAGAGAAAACTTATTGATCGTACCAATCTTTTTTCACTAAAAAACATTGTTGGATGACCAAACAAAACAGGTGATAATGCTACCTCGCGGCATCCAAGACCCTCTAAATTTGTTGCGCTTCAAGTGACTACCAAAGCCTGTGTAAACTCCAATAACAGCAAGCATCTTCTTCCCAGAAGAAGAAACACCTTTCTGGTTTTTAAGATAGCCTTGACTCTTTACCTGTGCCAACTCCATTTCAGTTTCAACAATTCTCCTCTCAAGATCTCTGTTATACAGTTACATTGTCTATTAGTACAAGAACAAGAACCGAACACAAATCTATCAGAAAAAAAAACAAAAATCAGCTTACTTGCATCCAAGGATCACCAGCTTGTCATCAACCATAAGAACCTTAGGCCTCTATACTCCACAAGAACATAATCAAACATCGAAAGACAAAACATTTGATTACTAAGAATGAAACTTAAATCTCTCAAAAGAGGCACAAAAAAAAAAAAAAAGGAAAACCAACCTGATCATAATTCTTCTTAAGCACAGTATTGAGTACTGCTCTGTACTCCGCATCTTGCCATAACCTAACCATATGAAACCCATCACCATAATAGAGATCAGAACGAATTGATACGGATCGAAATTTGAGATTGTGATTGGCAAAAATGTAAGATAATTCCGATAAACACATTGCAATACAGTTGAATCTAAAACTCATATAAATCTACACAATCGGAAAAAATGGAGAAGAACGGAAAGATCTAGCAACTGCGAGATCTAATCGGAAACTATGAAAACAATGTTCATCACGATCCAGAAAACTCTAAAAATCCGATTCCGGTACGCATTCCGAAGATCAAATCTAGAATCAATGAGATTTTGAGGAAAATCAATGGGAAATAGAGAGAAAAGCCACAACGTACCGACCAGCGACGTAGAGCCAAGCTACACAAGAGAAGAAGGCCATGATAAGAGAAGGCTTGGAGGTATTCTGAGACTTGGAAGATCTACCTCGCCGGTCAGATTTCGCAGAGACCGTCGTCGGTAAGCTCTCCATCTCAATTCACAGCGAGAAGGAGAGAGAGGGAAGAGTGGCGAATTTCAGATTCCAAATAGAGGAAGTGATAAAGGAAAGCAAATATAAGAAGTATCA